TTCAGTTATTTTCTTTATTTGTGTATTTCCTATATTCTTTGTTAAAACCAGTGATCCTATACTTATTATATAAGTATAATAAAACCCAAAGAAGAGTTATAATATGTGTTGTTGTTGAAACGTTTGATTGGTATACGCTACTTGCTAATGAATGTTTTTTTTTTTTTTTTTTTTTTTTTTTTTTTTTTTTTTTATCAATTTGTCTCTTGTATGTCATTACTACTGAGGTATGACATGCAGCAATGGAGTGGCAAAATGGATTAGTTTTCAACGAAAAACTATTTTTGCAGTTCATTTTGAAAACGGGAGTTAGGGATATACGCTAATTTCTGATGGGCATGACTTGACAGTAATATCTTAAATGTTCCAAATGAAGCCTGAAAAATCGAATAGTTACTAGAATAAAGAAATCCTTACAAGGAATTTTATGTCAGTTTTCAATGACATAAAAAACGATTTTCCTGCTATGATGTACGCAGAAATGGATTTTCTGTGTTGACAAAAATGGCAGGAAGCAGTAAGAAAGGTATGTCCCAAAACACGCACACACAGACACACACACAACACAAACAACACACACGCACACACACACACACACACACACACACACACACACACACACCACACACACATATATATATATATATATAATATATATAAATACATTATATATATATTATATATATATATAATATATATATATACATACATATCATACATATATATATATATATATATATATATATATATATATATATATATATATCATCATCATATCATTGCGGAGCTAACGCCGACAGGGGCGCATAGCCGCATCCACCCTTTGCTTGTACCTGCGAGGATCCCTCATGGCAAGTCGCCAGGCAGGGACTCGGCCTATTTCAAGCTCCTCACGACAGGTTTGATCGATCTGCCCAAGCCACGACTTCCTAGGTCGACCCACAGGCCTCCTCCACCTAGGGCTGTCTCGAACAGAGACAACCTGGTGGGCGGGATCATCCTGAGGGAGGCGAGCCAGGTGGCCGTAAAGCCTGAGTTGGCGATCCCGGATTGTGCAGGTAATAGGTCCTGTGCCAGTCTCACGGTGCAACCGTTGGTTGGACACATGGTCCCGCCAATAGTACCCCATGATCCGGCGCAAGGACCTATTACAAAAGGCATCAAGTCGAGACTCCAAGGCGCAGGATAGTGTCCAGGTTTCACTACCATATAGCAAAACTGGCACTATCAGGGCTTTGAAGACACGAAGCTTGGTCCTTCTGCATAGGTACCAGCATCTCCAAATACTCTTGTTGAGAGAGTTCATGACCCCTGCTGCCAGGCCAATCCGTCTGCTGACTTCCTGGTCTGACAGCCCAGAGTTATGAACTGCACTACCAAGGTATGTAAAGCTCTCTGTGACTTCAATGTCCTCGCCACAAGCACGTACCGACTGAACAAGTTCTCCTAATATGTCCCCAAAGTCCTCTAGACCTCTAGACCCAAGGGCTTCGCTTCATTACTAAATGCATCGAGCGCCACCACTAAGGATTCCAAAGACTCAGATAGAATGGCAACATCATCAGCAAAGTCAAAGTCGGTAACCTTGATATTGCCCAAAGTTGCTTCACAAGGACTTTAAACAGTAGATCTGCCCATTATCCAGTCCATGCAAGTGTTAAAAAGCGTTGGTGCAAGGACACAGCCTTGCCTCACTCCTGAACTAACAGGAAAGAAGCTTGACAGGCCCCCACCACACTTTACAGCACTTTCAGTACCAGTATACAGACTGCTATTAGTCCAATAATCCTTGTTGGAATTCCTCTCAGCCTCAGGATCTCCCAAAATGACTCCTGATGCACCGTATCGAACGCCTTCTTGAGATCGATGTAGGCTGCAAGCAGCCCACGCCCGAACTCACGATGACGCTTTATAATGACTCAAAGCGCCAGGATACGGTCTATTGTGGACTTACCAGGAGTGAATCCATATTGCTCCAGTCTCTGATGCCTCAGTAGGTGATCTCTGATACGTCTCAGAAGGATGTGGGCAAGAACTTTGCCTGGTATACTGAGTAGTGTGATGCCTCGGTGGTTGCTGCAGTCCCATCGGTCCTCCTTCCCCTTCCAGAGAGGGATGACCACACCCCTTAACAGGTCAAGGGGAACGGTACCAGATCGCCAGATGGCAGCCAGGACGACATGCAACCCCTGCGCCATAGGTTCACCACCAGCCTTTAACAGTTCAGCTGGGATGTCGCATATGCCAGCTGCTTTACCGCTCTTAAGATTGGAGATTGCCCCCCTAACTTCGGTTAGGGAGGGGGCATCCTCACTGATGGGTGGGTCCGGCAACGGAATCTCGGCACTACCCGCTTCCAAGTCAACTGTTGGAGGGTCAACCTGGTACAACTGCTCAAAATACTCAGCCTAACGCTCCCGCACCGCATCTGGATCTGAGATGATCTGACCACTTATTGAGCGAACTGCTGTCACCTGTAAAGAGGGCTTGGAGTTCAGCTTTCTCAGGGCTTGGTATGCAGGTCGAAGGTCATTTACTAAGAAATGGCCTTCTACCTTCTCAGATTCCTAATAAACTGTTCCTTGTCCCTTCTTAACAAAGACCGAGTTCTGCGAACCTGAGAACGGTGCAACTCTCGATTCCCTGCCAGACGAGCCGCACGACAAGCATCTGTGGCATCCAGTGTCTCCTCCTGTGTTCACCAATCGTCTCTTGAGCTGCATCAAGTGTTTCACGTTTGAAGGTGTCCCACAGAAGTACAGGGTCTGTCAGATTTTCGAGCGCTATGAAACGACTTGAGACTGCCTCAGCAAACCCCTGGGCACATTCCCCCTCCCTCACCCTGTCCAAATGAAACACCCTGGGGTGATCATTGGTCCACTGGGGGGGTTTTGAAATGGACCCGGAGGGTAGCCACAACCAATCTATGGTCAGTACCACAGAACTCGGCACTCCTATACACCCTGCAATTCTGGAGGATCCTCCAACAAGTACTAACGAGTATGTGGTCGATCTCCTTGGCTGCATTACCCGCACCGCTGTACCATATTCAGTGATGTGGGTCTGGGCGCTAGTACCAGGAGCCAGAAATCCTCAATTTCTGGGACCTAGCAAAGTCCCGGAAAAGGATATTAGCACCCGAACCATAGGGACTGCCAGACATCTCATAGCTAGCAGATCACAGCCAGATACCGCATTGAAGTCACCCAGGACAACACGAATATCTCGCTGGGGGCACCTGTCTGACACAGACGCTAGTTTGGTGTAGAACATCTCTTTCACATCAAGTTTACAAACATCGGTAGGAGCGTACACAGCAATAAGAGACATGAAACCAAAAGACAGCTTCAGTCTCATTACCATTATACGCTCATCGACTGGAGTAACCTCTACTACCGAGGGCTGGAGTCTGCTGGAGATAGCCATGGCTACTCCCTGGAGATGGTGACCGTCGCTGCGGCCTTACCAGTAGTAGGTATAGCCACTTACACTGATCGTTCCGCTGCCAGGTCTTCTCACCTCCGAGAGAGCGGCCACCTCCACTCTCAGCTTCCCCAGTTCCCTCGACAGCAAAAGCAACCGATCATCCTGACGCAAAGAACGGACGTTTCAAGCCCCCACCCTGACTCCCCGCCTGAGGTTTAGCCTCAGGCAGTCGCTCCGGGTGGACGCCACCACTGCCACCCCCGCCGACGCTGCTCCACATATAAGGGGACGGCAGGCTGTGGAACCCATCATCCACCTGCGGGGCTCCGGAAGGCTTTCCCCCGTAAGCTGCACTCCGGGCTGGCGTCTACCAGAACGCAGGCGGGACGAGTTGTTCTCGCTCCCGACCTGCGTCCCGGAAGTCGTTCTCCTAGCGGGATCCACAGCCCGCCTCTCTTGCTGGGTGGGAGGAGCAGTTCCCCTCCTCCCAGCATTACCAAATATATTAAACACTGCCGAAGGTTTTTTTTTATCTGGGGGACTGGCAAGGCCCACCTCCCCCGAGCCTCCTATTAACCCCAGGGGGCCTAGGGGCAGGAGTTGGTATGAGGCCAAGGCGTGTCCACACGCTGGTGGGGCATGACCCTGAACCCATTCACTTTAGCTTGGAACCGCAAGGTACCCAGTTTCCACGGGAGGCCACGAGGAGGCACTGTAGGGAGTCTCGATGATGGAGAAGCTATGCACTGGCAGGGGAGGCTTATGCACTGCTGCTCCCTTTTTCGCATTAGGCTAGCCAGCGGTGGCAGCTGTAAGCGAGAAGGAATGCAAGCTCGTAACACTAACTAGACTACCACACCATCGCTTCACACCACCCTGGGCGAGAAGCACCCACCCATATTTATATACAGATGTATATATATATATATATATTATATATATATATATATATATGTTTATACACACACACACACACACAACACACACACACACACACACACACTACACACACACACACACACACACACACACACACACACACACACACACACGCACACACACACACACACACACACACACACACACACATACACACACACACACACACACACACACACACACTATATATATATGTGTGTGTGTGTGTGTGTGTGTGTGTGTGTGTGTGTGTGTGTGTGTGTGTGTGTGTGTGTGTGTGTGTGTGTGTGTGTGTGTGTGTGTGTGTGTGTGTGTGTGTGTGTGTGTGTGTATGTGTGTGTGTGTATGCGTGTGTGTGTGTGTGTGTGTGTGTGTGTGTGTGTGTGTGTGTGTGTGTGTGTGTGTGTGTGTGTGTAGAAAACCTCAGATGCATATATATTTATATCTACTTATAAACAAATAAAAAGTGAAAGAAAAATTACACTAAAATTTCACAATAGTTAGCCCCTAAATTCATTTTCTCTAGCAGGAAATAATACCAAAGAAAACGAGTTTTTGTCGCAGGGACTGAGAAAAATGTTAACTCGTCAAAATTTGAACTTAAATGATTTACTAGATGCTAATGTTGAATCTGTTAAGTAATGCAAGCAACCGGAAGTTATAGAATAGCTCTTGAAGAGAAAACATGAATATTTACCATATAAGTAGAATAACTGTTGCACGTGTCAACAAAATATTTAAAAAATCCATATTTTGAGTCTAAGGAAAATTAACAACCATTATCACGTGGTAAGAATTTTTAAAAATGTGAGTAGGGAGTATTGGACTCGTAACCCCTGACGACGCAGACGCAGTGGGGATGCATCTCGTACCAACTTGTTGTAAGGTGACCGCTAACCTTTTCATTAATTCGCCCGCGTTCGAGGTATTAAATAATTGGGCTCGTATGAAAGCGTCACCACAAATAACACCGATTTATTTTAATAACTTGCAGCGGAAGTGCAGCGCTCACGAGACCTGGATTAACTATATGTGGGTTTACATGATTATTCTTTCTTTTTTTCACTTGTAGTTACCACTTCCTTAACATGTAACAAAAACTGCCGCATTATTGCTGTTGCGAGTATATATATATATATATATATATATATATATATATATATATATATATATATATATATATATATATATATATATATATATATATATATATATATATATATATATATATATATATATATATATATATAATCACAATTAGTTTACACTGAATATGTAGATTCGTTATTGATGTGTGCGTGTGTGTATCGTCTATGGAAATATGAAGTCATGCTTGGTAATGAGTTACGAGAGTGTATAATCAGCTATTATTATGCATTAAATCTTGGCGTTGCTTTGAGGAGTTGCATCCACATTCGAAGAGGTGAGCGAGAAAATGCATGTTTGCTTGTTTCAACTCGAGCAACTATTAGCTGGGTGGTTCCAAGGAGGGTGAATAGCAAACATCTTAGAACCAACTCCCAATACTTGTTGGGCCTCATTCACAAAAATACTATTTACGCTCTATTTACTTCGATTGGTTGCCAGATGTACAAAAGTGGGACCCAGAAAGTGTACTGAAATATAATTCCGCAACTGTACAAGAGCGAATCGTAGCGCGTATAATTGTCTGAGATCAAAGGGAAATCCTCGCTCAAAAGGCTTATCTGCAAAGGTAGCCATAAGCAAGACGGGATGTTAAATGCCCGGATGTGCCAATCGGGAAGGGCCAATCACACACAAAATCTGTACCAGATAACCGATGGCAAAAATTCAAAGACAGGTAAAGAAAAGAATAAACATACCCCCCCCCCAAAAAAAAAAAAAGCAATATAAACACCGGGTTGTTTAGGAAATAACATTTTTATTGAAAAAACACGACAATCGAGTGAAATTCACCCCAAAATTCCATCACAAGTCTAGATCATCTTCGATTCCTCCGTGACCGAGTCCCCGTCGCAGTGAGGTTTCTTCGAAGTGACTCCCGGAAGACTGTGCTTCTCGTAGTTCCAGTGGTGGATCCACGTCAGGAGGGGCCGCCCGTTGCCTATGTCCTCAGCCTCCTGGAAGGTCTGGGGAAGCGGAAGCCCCAGGGTTTCCGGCAAAGGGAGAGCGGCCAGGCAGCAGAGGAGCAGCAGGGCCATCATGAACCAGTAAGGAAATGCTGGACCAAATCCCGACTGTATGGATGGGGTTTGTGCAGATTTTTATTCATTGTGCGAATATATTTTATCTTAAAAACTAAAAGGGAATGAAAATGAGGACCTTTTTTCGACGGAAGCTTATACAGTAGGTAGAGAGTTCGATTTTTATAAAGGATTCTTTACAAAATGAAAGGATGGATAAGTCCTGTAAATCATTAATGAAACAATTTGTTCACGAATTTATGAAACTCACTTCTTTTGGAAAATTAATATAAAAAGGGCGAGAAAAATGCAGTGATCACTGACGCATGGCCGCTATATACATGGATGCATATATGTTTTTTTCATTGATGGAAACTATGTCACACTACAGTTCATACACTTACATTCCCATATATGTTTGTCTATTCATCTATCTATTTATCTGCATCTATCTATTCATATGTAAGTATACCCTGCACACACACACACACACACACACACACACACACACACACACACACACACACACACATATATATATATATATATATATATATATATATATATATATATATATATATATATATATATATATATACATATATATATATATATATGTATGTATGTATGTATGTATGTATGTATGTATGTATGTATGTATGTATACATATGTATATTTATACACATATATAATAATAATAATAATAATATACCACAGACACGCACAACTACAAATCTTTAGAGAGCTCACATTGAGGATGTACGGCGCAGCGGACATCGCCGCGAACCCCGCGACCAACGACCAGGCAAAGCCGGTGCTCCTGACGGGCGTCGGGAAGAGCTCGGTGTTAAGCAGGAAGAGGACGAAAATCAGCTGTGTGACGAAGAGCTTGATGAAAGCCGCAATCGCCAGGTGAGCCCATTCGTCTGGAAGGAAAGGCTCTATGGAATCACCATGGCAAATGTGGGCTCTGCAAGTGCAATCATTCAAGTTACACCTATAACATGCAACATCAAATCACTCGTTTGATACTAAATTTCCCTTTAGGTATGAACAAACAAATTATGGATGAAAATGAGTTAAGGAAAAGTAAGAGAACCTACTGTGGAGAGTGAACGGAGCAGCCAGACAGAACACGGCAGCCACAATAAAGGTGAAAATACAGGTGAAGCGACGACCGAGGTAGTCTGAGAAAAGCCAGCCCAGGACGTTGCTCGGGAGTTCAAAAGCCGATAAGACCAAGTGACTCAGGAAGTAGTTGTTGAGGACGTTAATGCTGAAGATGAGAATGCCGTACATCATATACGTGCAGGCTCTGAAAGGGAGAAAAATACGTTTTTCATGAGCATTTCCGTGAGAGGTTATTTGTCATACAGTCACGATTTTCGACAAATGATGTTCATGCCGTTTTGTGCCAATCGTGAAGAATACCAAGGTGATTTTGATATCACAAATGATACAAATTAATACATTGTTATTATCGTTTCTTGCCATGCAGTTGGAAATCAAAATTCCTATGGATTCAGTACCCCAGATGGGCTATATTATGCTACGTTATTCATCTATTACTTGACCTGAATTAGGCCAAGAAAAAGGAAAAAAAAATCATAAACAAACATAAACATCAACAACTTATGTTCAGGAAGAGCATAAACACTGCCAAAGAAGACAGATTAAAAAAAAGAGAACTAAGAAAAATGGAGAAAAAAAGCTGGAGATCAAGGAAAGCTAAGAATATAAGAAAAACAAATCTCACAAAACAAAAAGCAGCAAGATGGCTCTCAGACGCAGTTTGGGGTAACGCAGGATGTGCACCAGAGACTCCTCCTTCGAGTGGTTGTCTCTGAGTTCCTTGAGTTCGGCCTCGAGCTCAGCGGCGGAGGGTTGCTCCTTCCTGTTGTACTTCGCTACCTGGAGGACGGGGAGGATAAATACTTCGTTCTTATGAGGCCAATGAGGATGAGCATGAAAATAAAGCACTAGGTATGGGTTCTTATTTTTTATTTTATTTACTGGACGAGTGAGAGATTTTCAAGGATTTCGTAAAATTAGTAAGAAAAAAAAAAAAAAAAACGATTTTCATGAACACCGATGGAAGCTTTAGATACCCAGATAAGGGTATTTTGAACGGCAGACAAGAGGATGACTTCAAATGGCTATCCACGAAAAGGAAGGACTTGAGAACAAACACTCTTAACTGATTGCAAGAACTCATGCAGATCAGGGCGTGGATTAAAACTCACCTGGATGAGGACGGCGGCGCACTCCTTCAGTTTCCCGCTCATGAGAAGCCACCTGGGAGACTCTGGGAGACACCTAAGAGGGAGAGACAAGTTGCATGGGTCGAGAAAGAAGTACCACGCATTAAAGGCGCTGGGATCGAGCCCATTGCATTTCTGTCCGTGTGGCACGTTCTGTTAGCGTTTCTCTCTCTCTCTCTCTCTCTCTCTCTCTCTCTCTCTCTCTCTCTCTCTCTCTCTCTCTCTCTCTCTCTCTCTCTCTCTCTCTCTCTCCTTCCTCTCACACACAAATCATGTGATTTTTGAAAATATTCATTTTCTGTCAGGGATTGCTTTTATAAAGATTTAGCGAAGTAATACCCATAGAGATGTACAGTACATGAGTGTCTTCAAAGAAACCCGTCTTACAGCAAATAGAGAAAGCACAAAGCCGGGGGGATGCAGGAGATCAGGGTGAGGTAGTCCCAGCGCGGGACAAGCCAAGCCACCAGCGACGTGAAGCACATCCCGGCCGTCCAAGCCACGAAGGACACCAAGACTCCCAAGCCACGTTTCGAAGGCGGCAGGAACTCGAGCGCTGGGGGAGGACGAGGGAAAGAAACGGCGTGTGAGACTTCATATCGAAGGCTGAAGAATATCGTACTTAAATGCAAGATTCTTTGACATTGTCCCGATGGTGGAATCTATTTACAGTATCCATCATTTATTGCTCTTTGTAGATAGATCTAGAATGGCTAACAAAATTCTCCGTGAATTTCCACAAACTTAACCAGCTGAAACCCCCATAATTCCATCACTATCAACAGTCTAGTGACACAAGAGCCATGGGTACCACAGCCCTATTGAAAATCAAACTTACTAATAATATAAGGCATCTGGTAGTTGGTCTGGAAGCTGAGGGAAGCCATGAACCGGAAGACGAGCTGGAAGATGTAGCTGGGCGTCCACACGAAGGCCAGGGTGAAGACGAGGTACAGGACGTGCGAGAGATAGAACACGAAGCGTCGACCGAAGCTGCGGCGAAGGGGGTGGGGGTGGGGGTCAGAGGTCAGATTTAATGGAATTCTCTCAAATCATATAAATGGATGGTGACAATTATGATTAATATCATGATACATGGATATCATGACACGCACGCACGCACGCACACACACACACACACACACACACACACACACACACACACACACACACACACACACACACACACACACACTAACATACACACATACACACACGCACGCAAACATATCAACACATGGACTTATATAGGTGTGTGACATCAGATCCCTAAGCCATATATCATGGAAATGAGTTTCACCTTTCTCATCGAACATCAAAAAACCCCAGCAAACTCTGCCTCCGTGCACGCCAACAGACACGCACACGAACAGCCTGACCAAGCCTCACAATCGATCCGAAAGGGAGGGCAGAAGCAGCGTGCCCACGGCGTTCCCTGCGGTTCCGACGGCGAGGATGTGATCGGAATACCGGCGTCGCTCGCACAGCCAGCCGTGGCTCGTCGCGACCGTCGACACCATCTCCGACGTGTCGAAATCCCAACCGGCGGTGCATCCTGGAAGATGGTATGAATGGCTTAATTACGAGAGAGAGAGAAGAGAAGAGAGGGGGAGAGAGAAAGGGAGATGGAGAAGGAGAGATAAAGAAGAGAGAGAGAGAGAGAGAGAGAGAGAGAGAGAGAGAGAGAGAGAGAGAGAGAGAGAGAGAGAGAGAGAGAGAGAGAGAGAGAGAGAGAATCAGAATCAGAATAACAATGGTTATTCTTTACAACAATTCAATATACATTGAAATATATCTATTTATACAAAAATCATAGAGAAAGTCATTATTCACAAATCAAAATCAATATAATGTAAAAGCATGCATAAAGTGTAAACATATGTAAATCAGAATTCTAACTATTCTGTTACTAACAGAGTAAAATCTTGATTTTATATATATATATATATATATATATATATATATATATATATATATATTATATATATATACACACACACACACACACACACACACACACACACACACACACACACACACATATATATATATATAATAGATATAGATATAGATAGATAGATAGATAGATAGATAGATATAGATATAGATATAGATATAGATATACATACAATACATATATATATATATATATATATATATATATATATATATATATATATATATATATTATTGCTAGAATAGACATTAAAACAAAAGTATTAAACATATTTGCGAGCAGAACAAAAAATGACTAAAATAGGATATAAAAATGTAAGAAAACACTAAATTTAAAGTCGAATAAAACTTGAAAATGACATAGAAGTATAAATAAAAATATAGGAACACATAAAACTGAAGTAAAACACATAGTGTCAGAGCTAAGAAATAACATAAAATGGCAAAAGCAACTACACTATGACATTATATTGTGGGGAAGTACCAACATGAAAGTCACAATTCTCTGCGTGTTTAACAGATTAAAATAGATATCGTCACATAAGAAGACATTAGCAATAGTTAAAATATATTTCAGTCATCTATTCAGACTAACAGGCTAAGAAATAGCTTTTGAGTTTCTTTTTGAAAGAAGATACAGATTTCACGTCCTTAATGTGAGTTGGGAGCTTATTCCACGGTTTAGGTCCAGCAATACAAAAGGATCAGGATCCTATACAGGTGTTTGCCTTAGGAATGAATAGATGGCCTCTTTCTCGTGTACTCGCATAAGCTATATCGTTTATTGTTGGAAGTATACATAACCATGAAGGGAAGTGTTTGCTCATTGTAAGGAAGGCAGTCGGTGCTAGTTCGTACTGGTATTTCTGTCTGATTTTGAGCCATTCTAATTTATTGAGAAGAGGTGTAACATGGTCGTATTTCTTGGCATCGTCTATTGCAACCTTGGCAGCGAAGTTTTGCTACTTCTGCACTTGTTGCAGTTGGATATCGTTAGTAAACCGTAATTTATTTTGCTGTTGACAAGTGAATTTATGACTGTTATCCTTGAATTAAGATTGAGTTGATCTTTTATCCGATTAATGTACATCAAGGTGCTATATATTTTCTTCGAAAATTTGTTTATATGGGATATCAAATTGCTTATAGTTGTCCAATTATTTGCCTAGATTTTTCAATGATTTGCTTGGGGTAATGCCTGTGTTATCAACAGAAATCTGCGTGTTGTCAGGGATTTTTGATAACATGGCATGGGTTACAACGAATAAACATTGCGTCTTTTGGGCATTGAGCATAAACCCATTTAGATTTAAATATCTTCTGGCAATATTTAGGGATTCTTCTGCACTTCGGATTATGGCATTAATGCTTGGGCATTTCCTGAGTGGATAAAAGGAGTATCATCAGCATAATGGACAATTTTGCAGTTTATGACATGTGAAAGTTCATTTACATATATTAGGAATAAAACTGGACCAAGAATCGACCCTTGAGGGACGCCAAAGGATACGCTGAGTGCTGCAGAATAATGTCACCGTTCAGTATCAATGCTAAAAATATTACACTTATTTAACAAAAAATAATGATTTACACTATCAAATGCCTTTGATAGATCACAGAGTAATGAAATTTTCTTGTTATCTATTTACATAAATAATTCTTCAGAAACTTGTGGATGAATTCCTCCGAAAGCCATTTTGGGTATTGCTAAGCAGCTTCCTTCCTTCAAAATAAGCATTAATTTGGGATGTTACAGCTTTTTCAAGTATTTTA